TTTCTATGACTAAGCCTTTGGTGCCAAAGTTAAATCATGTCAATCTTAGCACTACTACACACATATTTGGAATTTGGAAGAACTCCATAACAATTGTTAAAAATTCTTACTCCTTCATGACAATGACACCGTTTGAATCATAAAAAATACACCTTCTCTGGACAAAACTCCAAAAAATCAACATCACATATTTGGTTAATACTTAACAATTTAGATTTTAAACCCTTCACATAAAGCACATTTGAGAAACAGATAATCCAGATATATTGATGATACGTTTATCAAGGATAGGTATAATTGCACCATCTCCAAAAGTAACAATACCGACATTCCAATCATCAAGAGTTGAAAACAAGGCTGTATTTTTCACACATATGTTTAGAACATGCACTATCAAGATACTACATTTTTAGCTTTAAGAAAAACATGAGCAACATAGCAATTCAATTTTTCTTCATACCTATTGAGATCACTTTTCTTAACCTCAAACATTCTTAGAAGTAGAGGTAATCTTAATCAATTGAGTCATCATCTTAGTTAAGTGGCTAACCGATTGGTAAGGAAGTTAACCTTGTTAGAGATATCCTGACTTCTACTTCTATTCACGAGTTTATGACACGTAGGCCTTGTATGTCCTAGTACACCACAATTGTGACACGTAGGAAGAAATTTAGGTTCAAAACTACGTGATTTCTGATAGTGGTCTCTAGGTCGATTGGTCCCATGTTGTCTACGAGCTTCTGTCCTAAGATGTCATTGCCCTTGTATTCATGATTAGCAACATTCCTAGGTTTGTTAATGGCTAGGACAAAAATAGTCTTGGATGAATTAGCAGTATTATTATCAGTCTGAATATATCCTAAACATTACCTATTTCCAGCAGTTTGTTCATCTCTAATAGATTATCAAGTTTCTAAGTACCACTCAAGAAGGAATTGAGTTAAGTATTAGATTTCTTTAGGTCATTTGTTAAGGTTTTAACTTTGGCCTCTAAGTTCTCATTGACAAGTCTTAACTCACTAAGACTTTTCGTAGAATCCTAAAGGTCAGCTATAAGTCTCTCTCTTTCTAACTCAAGTTCATTAACATTATTCAATACGGCTTTATTCACCTTCTTTATCCTAAGACTCTATTCAAACAACTGATGATATGCCTCACGAATCTCTGAATCATCGTCAGGGTCTTCCTTAGAATCCTCACTACATTCCATATCATCAACCTTCTCACTATCCTTATCTGAATCACGTGCCTCACGAATCTCTGAATCATCCTCAGAGTCTTCCTCAAAATCCTCACTACATTCCATATCATCAACCTTCTCACTATCCTTATTTGAATCATTCTTAACTATAGATGCAAAGGTCATATAGTTCATTTCATCCCCACTGCAAGAGGAATCACTCTGGTCACTTGAATTGCATCATCAGTTAGTGACACTGCCATTGCCTTACCCTTTCCTTTATTTATGTTCTTCTTATAGCTAGGATATTCATTCCTATAGTGTCCAAAATCCCGACACTCAAGATATCTAACTGACTGAGATTTCTTACTAGAACTCCTAGCATTATTCTTATCATGCTTGTCTTTTCTAAATTTACTAGGGGCACCCTCCTTTCTCTCTTTAGGTTTTCTTTTATTCATAAGAACTTTTTGAAATTTCTTAAGAAAATAAGCTATCTTCTCATCCCTAAGGGTCTCAGTATCAGTACAGTCATACTATTCTTTTTTAACGATATTCAAGGCTGTAGACTTATTCTTCTTCAGTTGAAATATGGTAAGTTCGTAGATTTGGAGGGATTCTACAAGTTCTTCTATCTTAACTATATCTAAGTCCTTGCTCTCTTCAATCGCTGTAATTTTAGGTCTAAACCTCTCAGGTCATCTAAGGACTTTTCGAACAATTTTAGATTCAAAAATTTTCTCACCTAAGTTGAAGAACTTCGTATAGAAATCACCGAACGATTCATCGTCCTTCATTCTAATTTCTTTAAACTTAATGGTCAAGCTAGTGTTTTATGGTTAGCACAGTTGCTCGAGCGTAATCTAGCGACAGGAACTCCGCCCGAGCGACATATTTTTGTTTTGAATGCTCGAGCAACAACTTGGCTACAGGTTAGCAGAAATTTGGCAACTTTTCTTCTTGTTCGATAATTGAACACAAGGATTCTCAATTCATCTATACAACCTACCAATTGACTCCTTGACTTTTAAAACTCTTTTACAACTATATTTTTGTCTAAAGATTGCCAACAACTATAAAACCTAACAGCTTTGAAGCGCAGCCAATCATCAACAGAGCTACCAAGATGAAACTGACTCGGTGAAATTAGTGGACCCCCCCTTTGGAGAAACATTTTATGGTAGAAAGCTTGAAAAAGAGGTTGGAAGAGGAAATCGAAGATCATCAGAAGATTTGTATTGAAGCGTGGGAGAAGTCATTCTGGAGTTTATAAATCTGGCTGTCTGTGTTTTTCCGAGCTATGTCTGACTATGCTAATGCATGTTTGGTTCTTATGAGTTTCATAGAGTTGTTTTCCTATTACATGGTGGACTACAATTTGTTCATGGAGGATTGTTTTCTTATCTTCCAAGTGTTTGCAACTCGAGGGAGAAGATTTTGCTAGCTTGTAGTATACTCCCATTTATTGTTTTCACTTGTGAACTTACCTTTGATTTTAACTTATTTGGTGGATCAATGACAATGGAATGAGCTTCTCACATGGGCGGACCTAGGGAGGGGTCCTGGGGGGGGGGGAGGAGGGGAAGACCCCTCCCCCCCCCCAAAAAAAAAAACATTTGAGATTTTTTTTTTTATATAAAATCGTGTTTGGTATCAATTAAAATCTAAATTTTAATCTAAGTCAAAGTTAACAATTAATTTTAATAACATATTTCATGGAATCCTTAAATGTTTAACTTTTATCAAAATTTACTAAAAATTTGATTTTAATCTCCACCAAATAGAGGCAAAATCACAATAAATTTGAATTTCGATAACATGCTAATTTTAAAAATTCTCCGATGATCGTACGCTAATTGAATCTACGAATTGCTTATGTCATCTCAAAACTCATTTCGAGAACTATATTATGGACATA